CACAGACCGTTACATATTTCGGCTCTTTTGTACACATTGTTTGCGACCATATTTTGCAATTCAGCTGCTACATAATGTATCATTGCAGTAAAGTTAATTAATTAACTTGGGACGTGAAGTTTTTAATTATTTTTTATTAATTAAACAGCTGCCGACATCATTGTCAAATGTAAATTAATTGTTGATTTTCAACTTTTTTGGGTGGGGCTAGAAATATTATATTTTTAAGCGTTTAATCAAGAAATGATATCTTTCCGTCTTAGTAGGTGCAACAGGCAGAAAAAATTGTTAGCTCCATGACCAAACTAATATTACGTTGATAAATAGACATTTTTTTATTTTTCCATCTAACTATCTTTAGTATTACATATCTTTATTAGTTTGCATATGTAGTAGTTACACCGTAGGTACATAATACCCTTTTTTAAATGAACCATTTTGAATGGTTTGTCTAACTATAAATAACTGTTAAATTAAACATCATTTAACCGCTGCAAAGCAATCGAAACGTCGTGGTTAAAATAAGCTAACTAAAATAAATCGCGTTTTATACCGTTAAACATGTTTTATTTCAATGTGTATCACTTGCCTGAACAAGAGTCATGACTTACGTAAAACTCTCTTTAACTGTCTAAAAAAAATGTTGTTAATTAGCTCAATAATTTTAAGTTGGAAAACCATAGACGGCTTGTAAAACGGATAAATAAAAAATGTAACGGTATTTTTTATTAAAAGCATTAAAACGTGTTTTTCTATAAATTGAAATCGACAACAGTAATAGCTTTTCCTAATCAAACACAAATCCACGAAGAAAAAGTAATGCAATAAATATTCACGAAAGTTATTTTAATTTCTTTCTTAAACAACGTGGAATCAGACACGGAAAAACTTTCCTGTTTTCATTTTCTTTAAAACGTCCATTTGTTTTTTTTTTTACATTTTATTTCCAGTAAATAGTCGGCAGGCTTTCTTAATTTCAAAATGTAACTTTTCTTGAACGTAGAGCGCCTCGAGTTCTGCGCTATTTTCGACCCTAATACCTTTTGTTCAAGTTTCATTATTAGATAATTATCTTAATTTATTTCGAACTTTTTAATTGCTTCGCTGGAGCTAACTTCAGGTATTCTTTCTTCTTTTTCTTATAAAATCGCTCTTATTAGAACGATACAGAATTGTACAGACTACAAATAGCAGACCATTGCACAGTATACACACAGTAATATTTATTAGTATTTATTATGCTATCTATTTCGCTTCTATTGGTTGGAATACTCCATTTCAAGGTTTGAATCCTGGGCGAAATTATATATGCATTAAGATTTTTTTTTCAAGAAAATTTATAGCATGTACGATATTCGGGATGCTTTGAAGCAGCTTAATGTTGAACTTAGATTCACCTACTGTTACAATCGACGTTAATAATAAAGTTAAAATGTATTTAAATATGTCGATACAACTTTCAGAAATAATTGGTGCAATAATTTGTACCAAATTTGATTACCATAAAAAATGGTTCTTATTAATTTTAAAGATAGAAATTTGTTGTCGCGGATATTTTAGATTATTTTAAGAGGAATCACTCTTTAATTTTATTTATTTATCTTGAACCGTTTTCGCAACTCACGCAACGAAAACCGACAAAGATTTTATTTATTTCATCAATATGAACAATATCCCAGTGTTTTCAAGATTTTCCACAATTTCACCGATCGTATTGGTTGCAACGATATACAGCCTATATAACCTTCCTCGAAAAATTTTGCTATCCAGTGCAAAAATAATTTTTCAATTTGAAGCAATACTTTTTGAGATCAGCGCGTTCAAACAAAATCTTCACCTTTAAAGTATTAGTATATAATAATCTATCATTTCATACCAATTTCTACTCAGCCAGAGATCTCGTGAGCTAAAAGTCAGGACGTTGTACGAAGCTATCAGGTCTCCAGCATACGATCATGGGAAAATTGCCGATCTCCCGGCAATCATAGCGAAGGCTCGTTCGGGGCCGCGGGCACTAGGCTTACCTTATCTTTCGGTCTCCGTTCGACCCATTGTACGGGACCGTGCAACATATTCCTGACATTTCGCAATATTCCAGAGACAAATATGCTTAGATTATAAACTTGATTAGAACATGGAGGAAGGTCGGTGAAGCTTATTAATGGAATGACATGAAACGAAACGAAACGAAATCTGACTTAATCTGGACTTGAACCCAAGACTTCTATCAAGGAGCTGCTGCGTCACGTGTAGTCTAGCCAAAACTTTTTACGGCTTAAAACGCGAAATGTATTTGTTCAACTTATGTACAATTTATTTTAACTACGGATGTGGTCAGGGGGGGAATACGTACCACTACGGAGGGGGGTATAAAGCAACCGAAACTTCGGACCGTAGTCAAAATATATTGTATTAAGTTTAACTAATCAATTTTGCGTTTTAAACCGTTAAAAGTGTTTTATTTAAATGTGTACTAACGCGTAAACTAGAGACAGTATAATATATTAGACTATTCTTGTTAATTTAATAACCATAGCCCCTTTGCTAGGATTGTTCTTTTAACTAACTACTTAACAGTAACATACTAAAATCTCTTTACTCTGATGTAAACTACCTCGCAAATGTGTGTTTTGAAGCGATATTTCGCTGTCGGTAACACAAAGGGATTCAGAAAGCGAAATGAGATAGTGAGAAACGCTCGACCATTTATCATCTCGACCAGTTATGACATAAAAATAAAGAATTCAGATTCTTAAAGGCCCATTCGTATGGCGGCGCTGTAAAAACAGTTTTTTAATATTTCAAAGGCAATTAAGCTATAAAGCTCCCATTTCGTTATGATATTTTTGCAGTGATTGGCGTTATATTGCATTTTGGCTGTGTTTGATAAAGCAGCAATAAAATATATTATATTAATATAGCTGCCATAGCTCAGTGATAAAACGCTACGTCAAGCTTTGCAGAAAGCCCGAGCAGAAGGTTTGAATTCCCGGGGAAACACAGATTACGATAGCACAGACAGTTTACATAAATCTATTTAACCTTTCAATAAAATCCTTCCGCATAACAGACACTGAATTGTGTCTATCCTACATGGGGTAAGCCGACCGACGTTACTCACTCACAATTTAATTAAACTACACTATTATCAATAATTAAAAAAAACTAATTAAAAAAAATATTGTCTTATAGCTAACGCGAGCGGTACACATTTAAATAAATCATTTTAAACGGTTAAAAACGCAAAATAGTAATTAACCTATTTTGAATTTAATTTAACTACGGCCCGAGTAATAGATTTCGTGTTTTAAACCGTTAAAGATGATTTATTATAATTCAAAAAATAATCAAGGTTTCATAAAAGTTTATCAACCAGTGAACACAATAAATAATAATCACAACATGGGAAATTAAAATCAAATTCTTCTCTTATTTGATAACTAAACAATTACTGCTTACACCTACCAACGCCGTCAGAGCCATTGTTAAAATTAAGATTATAAATGCAGATAAATGCCTACTCCACTTAATGAATGAAATTAAACATTATAAAGCGATAATAAAGTATTATTTCGTAGAGAACAATCTAAACTATAAACCAATAAAATAATTGAAAGACCTCAGCAACTTGTGTGGTCCGGTTTTTTCTAATCCCTCCGTATAATGTGCACATATTATCGACAAAACGCTAATAGTAATCTTGGTTCTTTTTAAGAGTGAACCGAAAAAACGCAATATGTTACAGCGAAGCTAATTAACGTAAGGGACAATTAATTGTCGGCAGAGCGTCGCATGCGCATGAAATATTTATTGAATTCATAACGTGGCTAATTATGAGCGCGCCGTCACTTTGCACCACCCGCGGCGACGATCGAATTCGAAAAAAACTTTATAACCCTGGCTGTCCTTACTTGCGCGACTTTTTCCGTAACTTATCTCGACAGCGAAGTAATCGCATATTATTGTTTTTATCGAAATCTAAATGCGTCGACTAGTATGCAGCAATTATCTGAGAAGCCGAAGGAAATGCCTGTCAGTCATAGAACTCATAAAGGCTCAATGATTAAAGTAAACAAGCACCGCGCTGCGGGTGTAAAAGAAATCGTTTAACCAGGAACGAGAGTGGAGGTATGATCATCAATCAGTGGGAACAATAACATTTCGTTAGTATTCCTACTGTTTATTTCAATACTGTCTCTAGTTTACGCTAGTACACATTTAAATAAAACACTAAAACGCGATATATACGACCACGGGAGACCACGGCTGCTACAAAGTATGCGAAACGTCGTGCCCTAGTTAAAAAAAATTTCATTTTTTGTACTGATAATTTTGAAGAGCTCCTTGGGTCGTGGGTTCGGTCCCCTGAAAAGCTGGATATTAAATAGCTGGTAAGAATATAGAAAGTTCCGCCGGGGTCCCCAAAACATCGACCACAGTCGCGTTTCGCTTTCAGTCTGTGGATTTCCGAATATCCAAAGTCAAAAGGTCGAGAGCGCATCTTATTTAGATGTTATATGGCTGGAGTTCATCAAGTGAGCCCCGTACTTGTCTGTAATATAGAGGATATTAAAAAAAATAAGCCCAGAGGTTATATACATTGGCACGAGTATGGCCAAGACGAATAAGGCGCGAATATTTATCAGGAAATTAGTATGGCTAAACTAACAAAATCAATTAAGTTCGTTTTTCGTCGCCGACCGGTTTCGCTTCGACATTCCGTTGTTGCGCAAAGCATCGATGTCAGACAAGCTCATTGCGATGGAATACTATTGTTTTACGAGCATATTTTTCTTGCACACATCTTGTGAAAAGGAGAGCGTTCTAAGTGGGCATGGGGCTGACTCATGTGCGTTTACAAATATAACTGCCTCAACAACTTAACGACTGCGTAAAATCGTTCCAGTTATAAATTTAATATTCAAGAAAGTATTCATTCGATGAAAATAGTTTTTTCCTTTCCTTGAGATTTACCCAGCATTTCTCGCGTCTAACGCAACATGATCCGCTCTAGACTCCGTCTGCGTGTAACCACTGAGCCACGGCGTTTGTTTGTAAAGGTACCATAATTCGTAATGCATTGAGGAAGGTCACAATGTCCTTCTTCGAATATTACTTTTCTTTTTTGCTTCACTGTGCAATTAAATAGATAAAAACTAGTCAATTAATTAAGTTATACAAATAATTACAATTTTGCAAATTTTACAATTACTCTAATTCAACAGTTAAACGTATAGCTTAAGAGATCCTGGGTTCGAGTCCTGACTGTACATAATATTAAGACTATTACGATCAGACAGGCCGCAGCTGTGTCTTCAACAAGTGGCCTCCAAAACCGAAAACCGAAATATGCCCGCGCATGCCCCACGTAGTGCATTGTCTTACAATAATATCATATCTGTCCGCTTATTTGTTTGGAAATATGTTTCATTTCTTTAGAAAATAAAAAAATGTCCTAAATCTTTTAGCCAATTTATTTCGAATAATAACTATCCAGACGTTTAGTTATATCTCGACAGACTTCAACCCTGCAAGAGCTGCCAAGAAAAATTTACTCCAAAGCGACAAGAGTCAGGTTGTGCATACATTGAGTGGACACCTTACATCAAAACAAGCGATGTTAGTATTGTGTTGCCAAAGTACGCGTTGTCCCAAATTCTAAGCAATTTCAATTTTAAATATGTATATTGTGTTATAAGTTTTCCAAATGTCGATTATATTTGCTAGTAGCGACATCTCTTAGTAAAAATCATACACTAGTATTTTCTCCTATACATGTGTAGAAATAATCTGTAGAATTAGTCTAAGACGAGTACTTATTAAAAGAAAAATTATTTTGCATCAAGAGTTTGAACAAGATTTATTTATATTATAAAGTGTTTTTTATAATATAACACGAAGACGAAACGCGAAGTAGATATATTTTTTACAAGATATTAATAAAATTTAAATAATAGCCTTTGGTTTAAATTTTGTATGAAACAGAACTTTGAAATTCTTACTTGCAGTACGTAAGCGTACAAATGATTTTTAAGCTCCATTTTACTTTAGTTTGTTAAATAAATATTATAAATACAAATTATAAACATCTTGTGGTTGTTGAGTGGTGATAAAATTTTCCATATAGTTAGGAAATATAAATTTAGAGCTGGCAATACTGTGGAGAAGCTAAGCGCTGGGCGAGTAGAGGTGGTGCGGGGTGGGGCGTGGGGCGGTTGGGGGCGTTCGGTGCATCTGGGCCCGCTGCCTCCCGCTTACAACCTTGCACTAAGCGCATCTACATCATCTTTATCAAATCTAACTGAAGTCGTGAGTACAATTTAATTGTGATAGTTATAAATTTACCTAACAATATCAAAAGAATATTTTCCACGTTTTACTTATACAGAATAGTCATGTGAAGACCATTAAAACATTTTTAAGAAAACAGTTTTAAGCAATATGATTTTGAGAGAAATATTAATAAAATAATTAATAAATTGCCAAAGTTTTAATTACAAAGTTAATTTACCTATTTTAATTATTTTTTAATATTTCATTCTCTTTTACAATTATTGTAACGTAATATTAACAGTTATGCTTTATGTAACATAATTTTACAAAATAAACGCAAAGCTGGCCGGCTTTACGCATCTGAGACATACAGCGCCATCTCTTGGCAGATAGCCGAACCAAGAGTACCAAGCTTTTTAAAACTTCATGTAATAAGAAATTAGAACAATACGACGATACAATACACTAATTGTAAAAAAACTTAATACTTTGAGAAAAAATAATTAACATTGAGTTATAAATATGTTTTAGTTCCGCTGCGAGTCGCACCCATTACTTGTATTTATGTAAATGACACTTTCAACGAGCTAACACGATTATTAAATGAATACACACACATTTATAAGCGATAAAACGCTTATGCAACGATATAAAACTCACCTTCAATTCGCAAAATCGTCTTATTTAGGAACATAAAGACACCTTATCAGAGCCAATATTATGGGGCTATCAAACGTTCTGCGTTTTATATCTGACTGTGCGCATTACAATTTGTAATCGGAACATCCGCGGATACAAACTTCATTTACATGCAAATACATCGACATTATTAGTAACGCGGGCATCCTGTCGCAATGCGATCGATTTGCATATTTTTTAATAACACATCGTGAAATATAACAAAAGCATTAATTTGTAAATTGTGCCTTTGTTAGCGTTTCCGGCGCAAAGGTGAATAATTCATAAAATTAAATCAAACAGCGTCCTCATAATCAATTCTAGATAATTACATGCCGGTGACACGGCGAGGGCATGCGTTTATTATTCCCGGTTTAATATTAAATCAGTGTCCTCTTTCAAATTTATTATCGATGTTTGATAACGATTTTATTTAATGCGATTCTTACCATCGATACTTGAACTCGATTGCTTCAATAGACAATATGGTTGTTTAAAGAAGACATTTAAAAGCTATAATTTAAGTTTTCCACAGTTAGGTTACATTTTAATAAAAATAGATTTTTTATGTCTATTTTTTGATATCGGAAGCCAAAACTCACTTTTAATCACTGCGCCAGTGGAGAAAGTGGCTGACGTTAAATAGTGTAATGGAAACTAAAAAGTAGATTTACGAACAAAGAACGTTTCACCTGAATTCCCAAGCTGTTAAAAAGGGACACTGGAACTATTGTGTTTTTATGTAAATTACAACAAAACGCGCGTAAGATATCATGCGTGAAGAAAGTCATGCGCGTAAAATACCTACGAAGGTTAATAAAAAAAGTTAACCTAGAAGTGTTCATTAGGAAAGACGTATGTATCAAATTATCAGTAAATATAATTGATAAATATTCTTAAGTTACAAGGCTAGAAGTAACTACTACAATTAATAACAGTGGAAATAATTCTTCAGAGCAATTTTCTTTTTTCATACTTGTTTTTTTAGCAGTAGTGTAGAAGTTAATGTAGGTGCATTCTCTTATGGAAAAATAATTTTATAATAAATGACGTTTTGGACAAGGTGGCTCAATTGGTTTGAGCAGCAACACGGAACGCTGTGGATGCCGGATCAAGTCATACTTGTGTCGTAAAATTTATTTCAAAATACCGATTTTTAAATTATAAACATAAAAAAAACTAATAAATGCTTAACTGCTATCACCGGAGTGTGTGCAACAAGGTACATAGGCATTAATTTATGCTGAATATCAAAACTATCAATAAAAACACAAACAAAGTGTGAGCTAGTAGATTTTATCGCGATTCGTCACCTGAGCGGAAACGAAACGGTGTGCGTAACACAAAAAATACATTAACTTAGTTAAAGTTAATTTATATCCATAGATACATTATTTCGGTTGCCCGTTATCAATACAAAACTAATTTATGAACGATAAGGGACGGATATGGCAACAAATTTTAAAGTAATTTACCAACTCGGCGATAAAGGTTTCTCATAAACTTAAAGTTATAAATATATTGTACTTTAACCATTAACATATCCGCATAATTTATTTGTTATGTGCATTCTTATCGGCTGTTTAGTACACCTCCCTTAGACTTAGTTGTGATGCAGCGGGCTTTGAGGTGAAACAAACTGTTTATGTTATTAGAGTATCTATCAGCTATTAAGAATTCAATGCTATCGAACGAGCAGATCTCCAGATGTTTCAGCGCGGAATAATTTCGTCCGCAGTAAATCTTATTTGAAATAAAGTATTCGTGTATTATAAACACGTGAATCTGGGTAAACACGCAGACAGGTAAATCAGAACGCTCAATGACTAAGTATTATATAAATATCTGGAATGGAGGAATCCCAGTAACTTCTGGAAGCGAACTATCATTGAATAGAATCGATGATTTTAAAATGAATCCGGTGAAGATCGTAAAATATTCTATAAACAGTGGATGTGTTTGCTTTCGCCAAGCCATTGCTATTAAACAGTCGTGAATTGGATAGAAATAATCGGGTCGATCGGGGTCCTGATTCTGTTATATACATTAGCTTCTCCAGAGCAAGCCTTGGTATTTAGTATACAACTTACTATCACGACATCTCATTTTTGTGCGAATCAAATTAATTTGATTGGCTTGTGAGTATATGTATGGCTAATAGGTAACCAGGTCATGGCTTCCATCCCTACCGGGTTAGGTACCAACATTTTTCTAATCAATATATGTATATTTTTTTGGGAATATGTTGAAATTCCGTTCGGGTCACGAACCACCATAGCGTGAAAGCCCGTTTCCCTCACGTGGGGCATAGGGCGAACACATCTGTGTCCGTTTCAATGATCCATTCTTTTAACGGGCAAGTAGTTGATCAGACTTCTATGCCCTGCCCGACCGAAACAATTTTTTTTTGTTGGCATTCAAACCCAGGACCTCACGCGCTCAACGCAATGCTGGGCAATACGTTTAACTTTTTGGCTACAGAGGCGGTGGAACCACCATCTACACATAAAAAAGTTGTGAAGTTTTCCGAAGGAAGGTTTCCATGGATTTCCGAATACACAAATCCAAAATCTATAAAGATTTTGGCTGCAATATTTCGCCTACCCTCAAGTACAATCTTCTTGTCTCTTCTCCTCTATCATAAAAAAATAATACCGTTTTCGACATCACTTGTCAGTAGCATGTTTCTCATCGTGATTTACCAGAATAGGGCCCCGTTATATCGCATCATTCGTATTATGTCGGCGCGTCCGCATTCAAACCCACGGTCTATTACCATGCAAGTCTCCTCTCCTCATTTTCCTACTTCGCCATTCTCTCGATCGTTAATTCATTGAACATTACCTCATTACATTTGGCAAAATGGGTGACTACTTAAAATTGATTACCATGTTGATGTTTAACTGTATAAGGTGTGTGCGTTGAATACAAAGTACGTTAGATGTGTGGAAATAATACGTTTTTGTTTTACTTACAAGTAGTTTATTCTCGAGACAAAAGTGATGTGGGTTAAAATAAATAGCAAATAAATATTATTTTTCAACGTCCCCATAGCTGAGTTGATTAATATTACGTGTTAAGGGCAAGGCGCAGAATACTTATATACTAGAACTTTATATGTAATTATTCAATAATTGATTCGACTTATATATTTTTACTTTGTTTATGTACTATATTTTTTTTAGGATAAAGGAGGATAGACAAGCACGGGGATAACTTGATGGAAGGTAAAATACACCAGCCATATAACATCTAAACTAGATAGGCCGTCGAAGTATTTTAGCTTTGGATATTCGGAAATCTGCAGACTGAAACCGAAACGCGATTAAACGTCACGGCCTTTATATCTATAGACGGCGATTTGTGACCTGAACGGAATTACGATATTCCTACCCCCTTTTGAACAAAATTTCCAACATGTAGTGTGTAGTAGGTATATAATATTGTATTATAAACTAAATATATATAATTATTATTACTTTTCTTAACTGTGAAGACGATGCAAACAAAAGTTTAAAATATATGATATTGGATTCATTAAACAATCTCCACGCTCAATGTAAAAGTCAGTACAAAATAACGCGCGCGCAGTCTGCGCCAGAGTACCAGACAGCTGTTTTTGCGAGTCGCGACGCGACAGTCAAGTCCCGGGTCCTCCAATTCTCTCATTTAATACTCGGAAACAAAACGTTTGTTCCGCACCGCATTTTTTCAATTTCCCAATCAAGTCGTCTAACTTCGATATCGATCATCGAAATTATAAATCCCCGTTGTAGTGGTGAATATTTTGATCGACAATGTCTTGGTGAATTGTCTGATATCGGATAGACGGCCTGCGCAAGAGTCTCCCGCGGCGCTGCTCCGGCGTTGCAACTTTTTACCGACGCATGCCCGGCTCGTGTCTTTTTGGCTCTTGCCGATCGGAATTCGTTGAGGGATCGCCGCTGGCGGTGGCAGACGTCTTGTGACATGTCGATGACTACGTGCGCTGCGTACTTGCCAATTAACCAGCCGTCTCACTTGGACCGCACCCCTGGAATCTCCCATTACACGATGGGTTCTGGGGAGTGCTGTCTTTATTCACAGAACGGCCGCGAAATGCGCGACGAGGGAAATGTGCATGGGTTGCTTAATTACTTGTCGCCGAAAAAGGTTAATATAGTGTCGTAATCGGATTTAATTACACTTGCAGTAAGCATAGTGAGTACCTGATTTAATGCAGCCTTTTGTCAAACTCCTGACGTATGTGATTAGTAGACTTCAGTAAAAACATTCTAAAAATAACCTATAGCTTTAAAAGCAAACAAGTCGTTAATTGAACGGCTTAATGCACTAAATATATTAGTTAATTTTCAGGTTTCATGGTAAGTTTTTCAATTCAATTATCATAATTTATTATTCAAAGTATTTCTCTCGCTAACCTGCTTTTTTATTATAAACGTAATAGGTGAAAAAGTCTTACAACATCTAAACAAGACGCACTGTTTACATGTTTATTTTGGAAATCCACAGACTGAATACAAAACGTGATGACACTTGATGGCGTTTAAACCAAAGGTTTTAATCCCGGACGGAATTTCAATATTACAATAACCCACTTCATTTTCAGATGCAGTCCGACATGTTTCAAAAAATTACAAATTAAATAGAAACTTCGTTGGACCCGGCAGGGATCGAATCCACGACCCGTTGATTATTAGACACATATTGCCACCATTACACCAACAAGCATCATAAAACGTTTTTGATTGTTCAAAAAATAAATACATAAATGATGTCTCCTTGTATGGGTATATTGTCACAAACTACTGGGTAATATTTAATTTATCGATCTGAAACAGCCGTGTACCGAGGAAACAAGGTATAGAAATTCGTTAAAGTTCAGGTCGTAAATTGTGAATATAATATCGAGGCAATTATGGTAAAGGCTGGTGAAGGTGTCGCGATGGAGCGGGAGCTACACGTGTTTCAGACCACTTGCATAATGCTATCAGGGTCGGTACTATTCTGGCGTACATTTTTAACCAATAATGAAAATAATATATCCTCCTAACGCCGCACGAGACGTGCTATATGAAATTGGAAGGTTCATCAAAATATTGTAAAGGCCCACAGAAGTAAGCTAAGCTTACTAATGAATTGGAGATTCTAATGTACTAGTAATATGTAAAAAAACACTTTCTTAAAACGCGATATATAGTTGACTTAGAAGTTACTTATAACGCCGGGGGGAAAACCCCCAAAAAGGCCAGCCGAAGTTAAAAATCATTTCAAATAAGTTTAATAATAATTATCGCGTTTCTAATTAAATGTATACCCCCCCCCCCCCTACTAAATGTGCATTATTCGCGTAAATAAAACACTATTTAAAGTTTACTACTTTTTAATAAAATCATATAATTCTCATGTCGTTTAAATAGTCTAAGATAAAACATTTCGCTCGGGCAGTACACGAATGAACCAATTCCCTCAATTTTCTATATTCATACTACATAGTACAAATGCATTGTCAAAATTTAAAAAAAAAAACAATGGTGTAAAACACTAGAATGCCTAAATATCTTTCTCGTAACTTTAAATTAGGTACTAGTATGATATAAGATATTACGGCATATTAATACCGTATCGTTATTTGTAACTAAACATCATTTATCATATTACAAGATTTCGTAAAATATGTCTCTTAGCAACGAATGGAGATTACTAAATGGACAATAAACAAAACAGTTAATAACAACGCTCTGAAGAAGAACCATTAATATTTATCTCGCTGTATTCATAAGGAAAATATGACGAAACATTTCTTGGCTCGTCGTATAATGTATCCATATAAATTATTAAAAAATAGAGAAAACACCGAACCGATGCCCCGGTGGCAGCCCTTTGCAACAACAGAAAGAGAAGCCGCTAGCTCTACCATTGAATCAAATTCATACATTTTGAGATTCAGCCGCCAATTTTAATTGTACCGTTAGCAACACAATGTTATTGGAAATATATAATTAACATCCTTAATTAATCGCAGCCGATATGCGATCGGTACAGTTGGTGTTTTGATATGACAATGTGGTCTTTTCTTGCGATCGGCCGACTGCCTGGAATATAAGATACACATTAATGATTAATTAATTGCACTCGACTACTATCTACAACTCTTGCTTATGTTTCCTACATACAACATACGTTCGTGCGTCAGTACCTGTTATTGTACGTTTCTAAAATACGAAATAATCCTCTGTTTATTACATAAACGGTTCGTTATACTGACTGTACAATAACATTCCGTGGATTGTTTTATTGGATTATGCGACGAAGCCGCGAAGTGGCTATAACTATTCAGTGTCGTCTTTTATGTTATGGAAAAACTTGTTCTTGAACCCATGTAGTGTGAAAGTGTCGTTTATTTGCGCTGTTTAATGTTACATATGTACACATATTGCCACCTTCGCAGCGGCTGTCATCGCTCTCGCGAACTCCGCACTTCCCAACGTTGTTAGCTCGAACAATGCTGCTCGTTGCGACGTTCGCTATTCTGTTATGTTGATATTAACCGCCATTGTCAGCAGATAAGTTAGATCTGCACTGGTGTATAGAGAAGAATAAGTATTTTGATTAGTCAATAGTAAGTTTTAATATCGCAGTATCTGCAGAACCCTATCGACACCTATACGTTCGTTGGCAGGGACTAATGTTTATTTGGACATATTTATGGCTATAGTTCCGCTTTTTGTAGGGTTGAAAATATGTGTGGCGGATCGCACGTTCGCGTGAGATTTCGGACACCTCTCCGCTTACTAAATTTAATATCGTCAGCCTTATGGCGAGGCCGAGCCAAAAAAACTATGAGGCCGCCATTGTGTCGGCGATACGAACGGCACTTCGCGCCTATCGCCACTCATGAAAATCATTTTGTTTTTATTGCGAAATGTATGTTTCCGATAACACCTGTTTCGCTGATGCCTCCGCGAACGGTGTCACTCGAATCTTGTCTCGATTTTTTGCCAATTTAAGGACTATAAAGACGCCCGCATCGCGAGCTAATTTAACCACTGTTCGCCGAATTACGTATTCCATCGGCTCTGCTTAGATACGTCGTCGCTTTTTGCAGCTTGTATCAACAACTCCAACAATAGTTTCTTATGAAAAATTAATAAAGCCTCTTACAAATTCTTAACGTATAAGTGATTATATTTTATTCATTTAACACTTTAAAATTCCTAACATTAGTCGTACGTTTCAGAGGCACCGTTCGAATACACAATATTGTCGTGAAGATGAACAAGAAAGTGTTGAACTTAGTATGAAAAAAGTGGGATCCTATTTTCCTTATATGGGCATGGTTGGGCAGATATATTTCTGCGTTTTAATTACTGATTGAATTTATATACTAGTGAGAAGTTGCCTCTGCGGCCTTCCTAAAATGTTTTCCCAAGGTTCGGAACCAGGACTACCCGTTTTACCGTTAGGCATTAAGCTACGGAGGACCATTAAAGTTATTTAAATAAAACACTTTAAGGTTTCAAATGCAATATATGAGTTAAACTTATTTGAAAATTAACTTCGGGCCGATCCTTTGCAGCAGCCGTGGTCACGGGGAGACTCAAAGCATCCGCGTGGCCAAGTTAAAATCATTTTCAAATAAGTTTAATATATTGTGTTTTATTTAAATGTGTACTACTCGCGTAAACTATAGACAGTATGTTATGTAAATTAAAAAAAAATATTATATCTACCTGATCGATGCTTTTACGTAGTGCATTTACACAACAGCACCTAATTCAAAATAGATAAATATTATTCTATGACTTGGTTCTGAGTTTGGCTATAACGGATTAGTTTATCGAAAACACGTATCGCTGGTATATTTAAGAATGTTCAGTCTATAGATTATTATCTATAATAATAATTAACCAACTAAGGCAACACATATTTCATTTATGACAACACGACCTTTTCTAACGAATACTTTACCATATAAGCCATGTTTAATATTAGAGATAAGAATTAAATGTCTCTTATAATTGTGTATTTTATTTATGTTTAGAAGACAGTTTTATTGAATTTCACATCGTATTTACAATCTTCAGAATTGTATTGTTTTACTTATGTCTTTTTATTATATTTGTGATAATATTTATATATCATAGCTTAAATACTGTATTTAGTTTACGCGAGTAGTACACATTAAAATAAAACAATTTAACGGTTTAAAACGCGATATATTAGTTAAACTTATTTGAAAATAATTTATAACTTCGGTCCGACGTTTCGGATGCAAAGCTAAGTAATATATCGCGTTTTAAACCGTTAAAGTGTTTTATGTAAATATTATAGCTTTTTTTTGTTACATAAATAATATACATAGTTACTCAGTAAAATTCCTAATAATATATATCTAAGATAAAAAATAACCACCTATGCTTCATCTACACAATATGGACTAGCAAAATTGTTAGTCCGCATTGTCTAATATGAAACTAAGATATCAAACAGCTAACTCAAGGGCCGGTGATATTTGCACTGGCCTATTTATTCCTACTGATTTATTGATTAAGTGAAGGCGCTTCGAGATTCAGTGACCTTAATATCAATACAAGTAGCATATTTCATATTTACCTTCTAATAAATCAATCGTATAAATCTTAGTTTATGTCAACTATAATGATGCCGTCGTCAAAGGGCGGCCGCCGACCGTGGTCCAGCTTTTTGCATAATTACGCGAATGGAATGCAGTCCTTAAATATGATAACAAAGAAAAATGACCGATTCAATATTAATGTTTACAATTTATTAGCCATCCTCAAAACTTCTCAGGCAAACGTTGATGTTATCTAGATACGAAATTCGTATTGATATATGAATGTATTGTACGCACAACGAAGGAGAGATATTGAATCCTATTAGTTAGAAATATGCCTTTGCAAGTCAAATTCAACGCATTGATATAGTTCCCTACGTTGCACACAACCTCTACAATATCTTTTGCAAATTTAAATTTTTCGAAAGATCTTTGAGTTTATCTCGTAAAATAGCGCAAACACGGCCTAAGAGAAAACAAATATGTCTATAAAGCCGTTCAAATTGATAAACCACATGAATTCAGAGATAGTGAGCCCTCCCCGGCGAAACCTGGAGTTGTATATTATTGTAACACAATCCATAAGAAACGC